TGCGATTCCAGCTACTCAGGAGACCGAGGCAGGAGAATCACTTGAACAGGGAGGCAGAGGGTGCAGTGAGCTGACATCATGCCAGTGTACTCCAGCCTGGGCAACACAGTGAGACTCTGTCTTAAAAACAACAACAGCAACAACAAAACCAACCTATTGAGGGAACCATACCGGTCACCGACTTTTTATTCCACCAAGTAAGGAATTTTAAAGAAAAAGCAAAACCAGATCAACAGCTACCATCCGCCATGACCATTATTTCATGAGAGAACCCAAAAAGCAGGAAGGGCGTGGTCTCAGAACAAAGGATGGTCCATGGAACCAGACTCATCTAGCAGAATGGAAAGCACCCTGCGTTGTTCTTGTTTTCATTTGGCCCCACCAGGAGCTCCCTGCAAATACAGATGTGAACCTTCCTCCTGTGTCTGGGATGATCATCAGAGCAGCTGCTCAGGGTCAGACCCACCGCAGGGCACAGGACTGGGGCCTTTCAGCAGAGGGGTCGACCCTTTGCCAACCCTGTATCCTCCTCTCACTTCTGCCCCTCCTGGCACTCCTGGCATCCCTGGCACTGCCCTAGTGACAGGGTGGCCCTCAATGCTAGTGTCCTGAGATGCTGCCTATGACCACTGAAGCCAGGGCCCAAGGCAGCCTCCAGGACAGAGACAGGACTCTCCTAAGAGCTTCCGCCAGGCACTGATGACGGCTCCTCATCTTCAATGCTTCCTGGAGCCCCCTTTGCTCTCCCGCCCACTTCCCTCACACACCGCAGCTCTCTTACCTTTTCCTCCTCAAACTCCCTGGAAGATCATTCCTCTCCCGACTCTGATCTTTAAGCCTCTAGCCCAGAGGTCACAATTACACCAACCAGCAAGGCGCAGTTCCCAGCACACGCCTGTCTGAAGGAGCGGCTGCTATCCAGCTGTAGTGAGTGTTGCCCTGTGCTTCCCAGGTCCCCTTCAAGCTGCCAGGCAGGCATGCGGTCCCAGGACCATGTTTAGCGTCCCCTGCTGCAGGCCTCACCTCAGCTGCCTTGACAATAATCACGTACTTTCTCGGGGTGGCCCATGCCCAGTGACAGTGACCAATGTGGAAATATAAAGACCTGGTTAACTTTGCCCACACAGGGCCACTCTGAAGCTGTTCCAGCTCCAGTTAGCCATGGGGCTACCAAGCTGCTGTGGGCCTGGACCACAGACGGTGCCGTGCTTCAGCCACGCCTGCTTCCTGCCCTGTCTGCCCCAGGTGTTGACCCCAACGACAGCTTCCTGAGAAACAGCTGGTGTTTCTCTTAAACAGCAGCCTCTGAATCAGGGTCTGCTTCCCAGACGCATCCAACCGGCCCCATCGGCTCAGTGATCCCAGCCCCAACCAAAGGGCAGCCTTTCCCCCTTCATTTCTTGCCCGGTTGGGACTTCCCACACACAAGCCTAGATGAGCTACCCTCTGGTCTTGATGTGTCAAAGAGCTGTAAGAATTTAGAATTTTTTTTCTCTCTTTTAAAAGGACTGGCCTTCCAGGCGTGGTGGCTCATGTCCATAATCACAGCCCTTTGGGAGGCCAAGGCAGATGGATCATCTGAAGTCAAGAGTTAGGAACCAGCCTGACCAACATAGTGAAACCCTGTCTCTACTAAAAAAAATACAAAAATGAGCTGGACGTGGTGATGTGCGCCTGTAATCCCAGCTTCTCAGGAGGCTGAGGCAGGAAAATCGCTTGAACCCGGGAGGCAGAGGTTGCAGTCAGCCAAGATCGCACCATTGCACTCCAGCCTGGGAGACAGAGTGAGACTCCATCTTCAAAAAAATAAATAAAATGAAAGAACTGGCCTTTGGGACCACTGTCTAGCTATGGACTCAGAAGGCCAGCGCCAAGCAGCAAAGCTGATCAGGAACCCCTTTGTCCTGGGTGGCCTGCACCCTCCACTTCCATGAAGCTTCAAACCACAGCACATAGTTGGGAAGCAGCAAGAGCAGATAATTTAAGGGGGAAATAAAAGCTCGATTTACAAGCTCCAAAATATAATCCCCTTCACATACACAGTGGAGGTAGCGGGATGTTGTGGGAGGGAGGAACGTGAACTGTGCTGGGATTCTGTGATGGTGACATGCACTTAGGCAGCCCAGCTCGCGATATATCAACGTGGATTCAAGATCTCTCAAAGTTACCGAGTGGTCGGTGAAAAAGAAAGGGAGACAAGGAAAACGTTTTCCTTAAATCTGGGCCCAGGGGAGACACCACGTAATGCTGCTCTGTGGATGTCTGACATTCCCCTGAAAGCCTCAGTTTTTTATTTTGCTCTTTCAATAGGGTGGGGGAGCGAGGTTAGGCAAAGTTTTAGTGATAATTATACAAAAAGAATACATTTGCAAAAACTGGTGCACAAAAATCACAACGTGGTTTTATAAAAGCAGAACAATGTAAAGATAACTTTTCTGTGTGTCAGCATAGAAATCATATACCTTAGCAAGAATAGAGGTTAAACATAAACTTATGATTATCAGCAAGAACATATTGGGCTCACAGCTGCAGGGGGAACAGGATCTGACACAGGACAACCAGCCTGACCACAAAACTGCAAGAGGAGGGGCCTCCATGCAGGCCTGGAGGAGCAGTGGGAGAAGAGAGATGGTTTGTTTTTTTTTTTTTTTTTTTTTTTTTTAGTAGAGACGGGGTTTCACCATGTTGACCAGGATGGTCTCGATCTCTTGACCTCGTGATCCACCCGCCTCAGCCTCCCAAAGTGCTGGGATTACAGGCTTGAGCCACCGCGCCCGGCTAGAAAGATGTTTTCATCCTTATCTCACCCACAGAGGTTTTTCCGCACGTCGGTCGCCCCTAATGCGTCTGTTTATAGGATCTACAGAAGGGTCGCGTTCCCTTTCCAGGGCCATATTCCATATGCCTTTCCTGGGAAAGGAATCCGGGTAATAAGCCTCTCCATTACACGTCCGTTTATAGTCTCTCTGCAACGAGTAGCCCATTAAGCGCTGTCATCTCTCTCCAGGAGTCAGGCTGTGTGGTTATTCCCTTTCACAGAATTCCTGTTTTTACCAGAACAGTTCAGCAGAGCCAAAGTTACATCTTAGCAAAGCCAAAGTTACAAGTCACATCTCAGCTTTTCACATTATTCTTCGTTTTCTCAAATATAACAGTAAGTAACAAGCATCACAAAGCAAATAACTCATTTCAGGGAAACCAAATTCTGAGAGAATTTACAGGTTTAAAATCAACAACAATTTCTTGTTATTTCAGATAGCTCAGGTTTTGCCAATCCTTCTAGAAGCTTGGGGTTGCTCAGTCACCACTGAGGGGTCCATGGTATTCCCAGCACCTGCCCTGCGCTGTTTGCACCTGAAGCTCAACAAATTCCCGCTGCCAGGACAGCAAAGAGAGCAGGCTGTCTTGGGCTTCCATTCTTATTTCTGCACGTTCTGCCCTTCAGGACCCTGGCCAGATGGGCAGGAGACGAAGCACGCCCTAAAGTACTGCTACTGTGGCCACCATCAGCAGAGATCAAAGGCAGAGACCTTTCTGCGAGGGTCCAAAGTCCAAACAGGCTGCTCCAGAGAGGAAACGCACACATACCCCAGGAGGGCTGGGGACCCAGGAAATACCCCCTCCCCAGGGGCAAGGATGGGGTTCCTATTAGACCCAGCACATGCTCCTCACATCCGCACAGCAGGAACACCAAACAATAGATAAAATTTCAGTGTTGATTGTTGGTGAGTTTACCCAGACGTTCACAATCAGAAAAATCTGAAAAGAAGCTCTTTCAATTTCAGCATATGTTTGTTTCATGACTTATGGTTTAGCATTGTTTTTATTTTGGATTCCATGGGTGGCATAATCTTTTCAGCATTAGAGACCTTTAAAGGTCTTTCCCAGCTCACCCCAGGAAGCAAGAGAACACAGAGTGAGAGGCAGGAAAGTGACGGGATGTGGGGGCCGCGGCTCAGCCACAAGAAACTCAGGCTGTGAAAGGCAGAGCCTTGGGAGCACAGAGGCTGCTGTGGCGGGGTTTGATGATGAATGAGAGGCCTCCTCTGCTTTAATGAAGAACATATTCACCCGCCACCACTCCCACTAAGCCTGCCCTGCCTTCAGGGTCCACACACCACAGGTGTGCACAGGTTCATGCGTGTGTGTGATCTTAACATGTCAGCCACACATACAGTCACTCAGAAACACTGTCACAGCTTCACACACGTGCACGCAGTCAATGACAGTGCAGGTATCGTGGGGCAAACCTAGAGCAGCTTCTCAGGGGTTAGAACTCCAGCTTTGCTGTGATTCCCAGAAGAGCCCTGACTTTGTCCCAAGACAGTGGTTCTCAAAGTGAGATCCTGGTGCCAGCAGCATCAGTATCACCTGGGAACTCACTGGAAACGTTCTGGGTTCTGTCTTCTAGAGAGCCCGGTGCTGTGGGGTCCTCCCTTAGGGCTAGAAACTCTACCATAGTTTTTATGTACCAACCCCCATGCTAAAAAGACTTTGTGCGCATTGTCTCATTTAAAATTCACAAACGTACCGTAAGATGCACACCACTTTTTCCCTACATTTTTTAGATGGGGCAGACAGAGCTCAGAAATGTTGAGACTTGCCTGGAGTCCCCAAACCAGGCTCAAACTCCGCCTGCATTCAGACTCATTCTTCGGATGCAGCTCCTGTCCTGGGCTGAAAGTAAACACCCGCCAAGAGCTGTGCCCTCCATACCAGCCCCATCTCCCCCATGTCTCTCCCTGCCTTGGCAGCCAGTCCTAAATCTTTCAAGAGACAAGGCCAAGCAGGGGGTGGGACCAGGGGTGGGAGCCAAAGCCCCACCTCGTGAGCAGGCAGCACCTCTGCCAAGGCCCCCACTGGCCCTGCCCTAGAGAACGGCAGGGAAGCTGCGGCGAGGGCTGGCAGCTGGCAGAGTCCTGGGCACCCAGCCCCTCGCCTGGCTTGCACCCCAAAGCCTGGAGAGAGACTGCGGCGCCATTGACCTGTGGACTCCAGAGACTCTGACGGGGAAGGTTTCCTGAATTACCGGAGGAGAAACCTGGGTTTGAGTCCTGACTTGTCACCAGCTTCCTGAGTGACCTGGGCTGGTCCCACCCCCTCTTGGAATCTCCGTCTTCCACCTCTTCAGCGAAGGGGTTGATTTATAAGATGTTTTCTGCTCTGACACTATAATTTGAATTCTCTATTTCCACGTGACATTCGAGAAGTCTGGCCGGCAGGATGGAATCTGAAATGACAGTGGCTCTGGACTGGGCTTTGTGCTCAGCCCAACTCATCTTTGCCTGAGACCTAGGAGTGGCCCCTGGCTTTCCTGACGTGCCACCACCCTTGGCATCTGCTCCTCTCCCTGCCCCCATATACCCATGCTCCGAAGGGGAGTTCTCTTCCATAGCAAATCTGGGAGGTGCCGAGGAACCGGGCCCTTTGTTCCAGACCCAGAAGCAGCCATGGGGATCTGTGATGTTGTGACTGAGGCCAATGTCTCATCTGACCCTGAGAGCAATATCACAGGCACCACAGCCTTCTCCATGCCCAGCTGGCAGCTGGCACTGTGGGCCACAGCCTACCTAGCCCTGGTGCTGGTGGCCGTGACGGGCAATGCCACGGTCATCTGGATCATCCTGGCCCATCGGAGGATGCGCACGGTCACCAACTACTTCATCGTCAACCTGGCTCTGGCCGACCTCTGCATGGCTGCCTTCAACGCCACCTTCAACTTTGTCTATGCCAGCCACAACATCTGGTACTTTGGCCGCGCCTTCTGCTACTTCCAGAACCTCTTCCCCATCACAGCCATGTTTGTCAGCATCTACTCCATGACCGCCATCGCCGCCGACAGGCAAGTGGGGCCTTGGGGAAGCTGGGGTGGCGGGGGGAGCCTCCTCGCTAAGCCGGGGCTCAGATAGGGGTGGTGACATGTCTGTGGTCACACACTAAGTTCAGGTAGAACCAAGGGAATGGCTTCCCAAATCTGGTCATCATCTAAAACTATGACTCTGGAAGGTGAGGGGACTGTGGAACTGAAGCAGGTAGAGTGAGGGTTAGACACAAAGAGGGATTTTGTACTAGACAGGTTGTTCAAGTCTGTAGGGGAAGTGGGCTGTGTTTTAAAACCTTCCGAAATGTTCTTTCCTGGAGTTGATTTTTGTTTTGCTGTCTTTCTTTCACTCCAAGGAAATGTCTTATACTGTTTTTTGTTTTCATTCCAGATAGATTACAAAAGGGGAGAAGTTTAAGATTGCATGCAGGCTGGGCGCAGTGGCTCACCCCTGTAATCCCAGCACTTTGGGAGGCTGAGGTGGGCGGATCATGAGGTCAGGAGTTTGAGACCAGCCTGACCAACATGGTGAAACCCTCTCTCTACTAAAAATACAAACATTAGCTAGGTGTGGTGGTGCATGCCTGTAATCCCAGCTACTCGAGAGGCTAAGGCAGGAGAATTGTTTGAACCCAGGAAGCAGAGGTTGCGGTGAGCTGAGACCATGCCATTGCACTCCTGCCTGGGTGACAGAGCCAGACTCCAACTCAAAAGATTTAAAAACATTGCATGCAATTACCATCTAAAAGGGCCAATTATTTTCCTGATGCTGCTCAGGGCTGAGCTTCAGGCTAAAGTTAGATGCTCAGCCTTGCCCCGAGATAGACTTCTGGTGTGACTTTCTTGTGGCCATCCACAGGCATGTCCGTGCCCAGAGGGAACTAGTGGGCTGAGGTGCCCGGGCTGGGGCTAAGGCATCAGTGTGCTGTGTGGCTGTGGGTGAGTCACCAGACCAGCAGGCTCTCTGCAGATCGGCTGAGACTATGACATCGGCAGATGGCAGCAGTGCAGGGAAGGGCTAGAGGGTGTGGGCCTGGGTTATGGGAGAGGGAGACAGGGACAAGGGAGCTGGGCTAACTGGAGAGCCCCTGCCACTCATGCTGCCCTCTGCTCACAGGTACATGGCCATCGTCCACCCCTTCCAGCCTCGGCTCTCAGCCCCCAGCACCAAGGCGGTTATTGCTGGCATCTGGCTGGTGGCTCTTGCCCTGGCCTCCCCCCAGTGCTTCTACTCCACCATCACCATGGACCAGGGTGCCACCAAGTGCGTGGTGGCCTGGCCTGAAGACAGCAGGGGCAAGACACTACTCCTGTAAGGCCTCTGGGGGACTGTCGAGGGCAGCTGTGTGTGTGTGTGTATGTGCGTGCACGTGCGTCCATGCATGTGTGGTGTGTGTGCATGGCTGTACACGAGTGAATGTACATGGGATTATGTGAATTACCTATATGTTTAGTGAGCAACATGCCCAAAGTAGACCTGTTCTTAGCACTTTACATACACTGATCCATTTAATTCTCCTAACAATATGGGGTATATATTATATTATTATTATTACCATTTTTTAGATGAAGAAACTGAGGCACTGAAAAACTAAATAACATGCCTAATACCATGCAGCTAGCAATTCAGATCCTCCTAGTCATCCGAATCCAGCTAGGGATTTAAATCCACGCAGTCCTGCTCGGGGCCCAATCTCCTCACCACTCTGCTACTCCAAAACGTACCCGTGCATCCTCGGATAAGGATAGGCACGCATGTACACGTGTGTGTGACTGTACATGTCACATGCACATGCAGCACTCATTTCTGCCTGTGTGTGCCTGTGTGTGCATGTGCAAGTGTGTGGGCATCTTTCTAGATGTGTGTGCACACAGGCACGTGTTAGGGACGTGTATAGGCACATGTGCGGGGGAGGTTCTCTACGTGCTCAGGCCACAAAGGGCCAGGAGACTGAGGCAGAAAGGGTCCATGATGGAGCCTGGGACATTTTCAGGAGGAGGCCTGGTGTCCGCCTCATGCTGAGGCAGGGAGGGCAGGAGTAGAGGAACTCAGGCATGGCCCAGCTACCATGTGACCCTGGGTGAGTCCTTTCTCCATTTCCAGCCTCAGTTTTCGAGGATCTCACAATGTGTCTTTGTGGTCCCCAGACACCGAGCCATTGCTTGGTAGAGGCTAAAGAACTGACTGAGGTTCTGGGGTCAGCGGCCAGGCACAAGTCGCGCCTGCTCCTGCCTGGCCGGGCCTCACACGCACGTAACCTCTGAACTTCTGGCTTTCTCTAAAATTAGGATTCATCATAGTACCTTGCTAAAGTGTTGTTGTGAGCGTAAGTGAGATAGTGAATGTGAAGCCCGTCACGCCATGCCTAGCACAGAACTGCTACCCAGTATGTGGTAGTTTAAATGGGGGGCACACGAAAACACACCTGGGAGTGGCCGATCAGTCTCCCAAAGCCCCGGCTGCCCCAAGCATGAAGATGCGCATGGTCTGAGGTGAGGGCTGCCAGGTAGCCATGGCAACACACCTCTCCTCCAACACCCTCCCTGCCTGGTCGCCATCTGTCCTGAGCACCTGCCAGGAGAAGGCTGCTCCTGTGGGCTTCAGGGCTAGGGAAGGTGCCGTTCCTCTGAGCAGCCATTCCTGGGGACTGATGAGTCTTGAGGACAGACCCTGCCCAGGGTCTCTGCCCCTTCCCTGCACCCCACCAACTCACCGAGGGTGATATCCATATATGGGGAGTGCCCTGCTTTCTGGCTCAGGGAAGGATGGAGAGTGGAACATATTGAGACTGGCCACTTGGGGGCAGTGTTTCTCTACCTTAACACAGGACCATTGCGCCAGCCAGCTCTCTGGGAATAGCAAGTTCCAACCCAGCTTCAGGCAACTGGGAAAAACAGGCGGGCAGGGGGTGCTAGGAAAGCTATACTTTGGTGTTACTTAAAATTCTGAAAGGATTTGGGGAAAGCCTGGTTTTAAGTGTGAGCATGTGTTACTGTTTTACTTGGGGGAATGCCTAATTTAGAGATTTAGGATGAGGGCTCCATCCACACAGGCTCATATAACTGTGTGTAAGTCGGAATCTGATGAAATTAAAGATGCCCTCTCTGGGAACATGTGCTCACACCCCCAAAATCAAAATACAAAAGGACTCCCTTTGGGAGGCAGAGGTGGACAGATCGCCCGAGGTCATGAGTTCGAGACCAGCCTGGCCAATGTGGTGAAATGCTGTCTCCGCTAAAAATATAAAAATTAGCTAGGCGTGATGGTGGTTGCCTGTAATCCCAGCTACTCAGGAGGCCAAGGCAGGAGAATTGCTTGAACCCGGGAGGCGGAGGTTACAGTGAGCTGAGATCACATCATTGCACTCCAGCCTGGGTGACAGGAGCAAAACTATCTCAAAACAAAGCAAAACAAAAAGACGGCCCCGGACTCTTCCCCTCTCCTTTCTGCATGGAGACCTAGCCCAGAGTGAATCCTGTCCTGCATGACATCCTGGGAGCAAGCAGCAGAGGAGTGTGGCTCCTACTAAGGAAGGACTTGGAGATGGCCTCCTCCTTTTACAGTTGGGGAAACTGAGGCTGAGGGAAAGCCCTGACTTGCCTAAGACCATGCTTTAAACAAGAGGCTGGACAAGAGCCCTGTTCTGACTCCATTGTGCTGACCCTCAGGAAAAGGGAAATGGGGTCGTGATGAAATCTGTAGACTGATATAACAGACTTCCTTGGCCTCAGTTTCCCCATCTGGACACTGAGACAGGTGGCTCTGTTGCTCCTCACTCTGTAAGGTGATGGGGCCTGTCCTTGTTGGCCCTCCTCCCTTCTTATCTGCTCCACACTGGGGTTCTCAACCCAAAGCCTACTTGAGGATCAGGGAGTCTAGGAGCCCCTGAATCTCTTATAATTGGCATGCTTGCCAAAAGCACCCAAGCAGAATCCTAAACACAAGGCTTTAGGAGAGAGTTACTGGAGCCGTCATAACCACCCAGTGGATTTACCTTGCCTGCTGCCTAGACAGAACTATTGATCAAGACAGGAATTGCAATGAAGAAAGAGTAATTCATGCAGAGGCAGCTGTGCAGGAGACCAGAGTTTTACTATTACGCTAATCAGGCCAGGTGTGGCGGCTCATGCCTGTAATTCCAGCACTTTGGGAGGCCAAGGAGGGTAGATCACCTGAGATCAGGAGTTTGAGACTAGCCTGGCCAATGTAGCGAAACTGTGTCTCTACTAAAAATGCAAAATTAGCCAATCATGGTGGCAGGCACCTGTAATCTCAGCTACTTGGGAGGCTGAGGCAGGAGGATTGCTTGAACCTGGAAGGTGGAGGTTGTGGTGAGCCAAGACCCTGCCATTGCACTCCAGCCTGGTCAACAACAGCGAAACTCCATCTCAAAAAAAAAAAAAAAAAAAAAAAAAAAAAAATCAAATCAGTGTCCCTTAGCATTCAGGAATCAGAGTTTTTAAAGATAATTGGCGGGTAGGAGCTTGGCAAGTGGCAAGTGCTGATTGGTCAGGTTGGAGGTAGAATCATAGCAGGTCAAAGTGAAGTTTCCTTGCCATCTTCTGTTCCTGGGTGCAATGGCAGAATTGGTTGAGTCAGATTATGTGGTCTGGATGGTGTCAGCTGATCCACTGAGTACAGGGTCTGCAAAATATCTCAATCACTAATCTTAGGTTTCATAATAGTGATGTTACCCCCAGGAATTTGGGGAGGTTCAGACTCTTGGAGCCAGAGGCTGCATAGCCCCTAAGGTATCATTTCTAATCTTGTAGCTCATTTGTTAGTCCTGCAAAGGCAGACTGGTCCCTGGGCAAGAAGGGGGTCTTTTGGGAAAAGGGCTGTTATCAATTTTGTTTCAGAGTCAAACCATGAACTGAATTCCTTCCCAAAGTTAGTTCGGCCTATGCCCAGGAATGAACAAGGACGGCTTAAAGATTAGAAGCAAGAAAGGGTCGGTTAGGTCTGATTTCTTTCACTGTCATAATTTCCTCGGTTATAATTTTGCAAAGGCGGTTTCACCATGGGCCCCCTTCTCTTGGGGTGGCAGCACCTCTAGAAAGGGACCCAGCAAGGCTAGCACATGGCAGGTAGAAGCAGGGTGCTTGGAACACCTCGGTCCTCCCAGTAAGAAAGAAAAAGGTCACATGGCAGGACCAGGGGTCTCAGGCCCTTTGGAGGAATGCTCCGAGAACTCTGTTCGGTGAAACGGGGCCCCCAAATGCCAAAGCAGCCAAGACCCAAAGAAGGAGGCAGACACATCTAGTTTGTCAGTATTGGGTGACTTGCTGAGGGAATTTACAGACAGAAGCGGAAACTTGGGTGGCCACGAGACAGGTGGACTCCGCATTCGCACTCCCCAGACGCAAGGTTTGTATACCACAGGGAAAGGGTATCCGTGCTCCAGCACGACAACGAAAGGCGGCCCCCAGAACAGGCAAGAACGCCATGTGCATCACAGCCTGTGATCTGTGGAATATCATCAAGGTCGACATGCTCTTACGGTAGGGACAGTAGATAAAGTAGAAATCAAAGGCATTCACAAGACCGGGATGAGTCAGAAGGCAACATGGGGGAGTGGCATCCAAGATGGAGTCACTTTTGTCTCCACAGGTTCCCACTGCAGACCTGCCTGGGAGTCAGTCCCCACCCTTCAGCGTCACTCAGAAACCAGAGAGCTGAGAGCTGGGAACACTGTCCCCCCCCCCCTTTTTTATTTGGCAACAGGGTCTTGCTGTGTCACTCAGGCTAGGGTGTGGTTTCCCAATCATAGCTCACTGCAGCCTCAGTCTCCTGGGCTCAAGGGAACCTCTTGCCTCAGCCTCCTGAGTAGCTGGAATTACAGGTGTGCCCCACTATGCCTGGCTAATTTTTAAAAATTTTTTACAGAGATAGGGTCTCACTGTCTTGCCCAGGCTGGTCTCAAATTCCTGAGCTCGAGCAATCCTCCCATCCTGGTCTCCCAAAGTTTAGGGATTACAGGCATGTGCCATCACACCGGCCTACACTGTTTCCAAAAGGAAATGAAAAGCGTCAGCACAACCCAGTGTCCTCCCTGGGGACGGGGTAAGAAGCCACGCAATGGTACTCTGCACCACTTGCTCAAAGGTAGAATGAAAGGGCATTTGCTGACACAAACGAGGTTCCCAGCCAAATGCTGATGAGCCGTAAGCAGATGATATAGCAGCATGTGACATATGGCACCCTTCCACTGTCCCCTTGCTCCATAGCGATGTTGGCACAGATGGAGCCTTATTAACACAAGCCATTCTATCCATCCAGACAGATTATATATATATACATAAATCTAATGTATACGAACACATACATATATGGTTATACTGTACGATACACTCCAAGACCCCTGGGGGATGCTTCAAACTTCAGATAGAACTCTCTCTCTCTGTCTCTCTCTCTCTCTCTCTCTCTCTCCACACACACACACACACACACACACACACACACACACATTATGTTTTTTCCTCAACATACATACCTATAATAAAGTATAACTTATAAATTAGGCACAGCAAGAGATGAATGATAACTACTAATAAAACAGAACAAGCATAACAATATACTGTAATTAAAGTTCTATGAATGAGGTCTCTCTCAAAATATCTTGTTGCACTGTCCTCCCCTATTTTGGATCCGCAGTTGAGAGGGGTAACTGAAACCTGAGAAAGTGAAAGTCCCAGCGGGATGACTACTATTCATACATATGATTCTGGATAAAACATGCCAGATATTAATTGTTAATGCTAATATTAATAGTGGTGGGAGTGGGATAATTTTACATCCTCCTTTGTGCTTAATGTTATTTTAAATTGTAAACAAATGATTAATTTTTTTTTTTGAGACTGAGTCTCACCCTGTCGCCCAGGTTGGAGTGCAACAGCATGATCTCGGCTCACTGCAACCTCCGCCTCTCAGGTTGAAGTGATTCTCCTGCCTCAGCCTCCCCAGTAGCTGGGATTACAGGCATGCTCCACCATGCCCAGCTTGAGTAGAGATGGGGTTTTTCCATGTTGCCCAGGCTGGTCTCGAACTCCCGACCTCAGGTGATCCGCCCGCCTCAGCCTCCCAAAGTTCTAGGATTACAGGCGTGGGCCACCATGCCCGGCCGACCAAATTATTTTTAAATTTGTTTCGTTCCTTTTTTCTTTTTTTGGCACGTGTCTATCACATGTTAGGACGCAGGGCTACTGCTGTCGTTCCTTTTGCAGGGGAAGCCGTTTCTTGGCACACAGGCTACCCAATGTCCCCTTTATTTTTGTTTAAATCAAACCAAGGCCCTAGTCGGCGCCCACGGTGGTCCCGCAGAGGGCGGCTCCACTGTACCCGCGGGGTCGCAGGACCCGGCGCCGGCAGCCTTCGGAGTTGCCCTCGGGCCGCCCGCTGCCCAGGCTCCGGCTCTCTCCGCAGGTACCACCTCGTGGTGATCGCCCTCATCTACTTCCTGCCGCTGGCAGTGATGTTCGTCGCCTACAGCGTCATCGGCCTCACGCTCTGGAGGCGCCCAGTGCCGGGACAGCAGGCGCACGGTGCCAACCTGCGCCACCTGCAGGCCAAGAAGAAGGTGGGCTCGGGGGCGGGGCTTGGCGGGGGCGGGGCGGGGCCTGACTCCGCCCTCGGGGGGGCCGCCCTTGCCGTCTCAAGACCCGCCCGCAAGGGGGCGCCCGGGAGAAACTTACGGAAGCTGCCTTTGCGGGAAGCCTGGGACCAGAGCCTAACCGCGTTCCTCCCAGGCAGGTGGACTTGCCTTTGGTCTTTCGCCAAATACAAAATTAAAGAAACTTCCCAGAATGTTAGGGGAGTCAGGGACTCCTAAAGCCCCACAGAATTCAGATACCTCCAAGAATCTTAGAATGATAAAATATTAAAATCTTAGGCTTTCTGAATAATTAGAATGTTGAATTTAAGAAGCCCCACAGAACTACAGAAGGCGCCTAGACAGTCACAGGAGAGCCCTCAAAGGCTGGAACTGCGGACCTCAGAGGACTGTCCAGCTTCATCAAATCTGTCTCCAGCCTCTTCTGGAAGTGCCAGTGCCCCCTGCTTCCTGCCATCCAGGCTCCCCCAAAGGTCCTGATGTAGCACTCGGTGCCCCAGGCCCTTCACCCTCCTCCAGTCCAAGCTTGTCCTTGCCCCCTTACTGCCAGGCAACAGGGGAGGTAATGGGTTAACAATATCATGTTGCCAGGTCAAAGGCTTCTCACCCAACAATAGGCATGTTTCCCAGGTTAGTTCGGGAAGGTAGCTGGACATGGGCACCATCTGGTGCCCCTCATGAGCACTGGCCTCCACCTGCTCCACACTAGGGCTCTCAACCCAGATCCTATGTGAGGATCAGGGTGCCCAGAGCCCCCAGACCTTTTGTAATTGGTATGCTGGGCTGCTGAATGGTACAGGAGTGTGCTGCAGGGGCCAGGCTGTGAGGACAGGGAGGTACGGGAGCCGACGCCTGGGCAGAGGCTCACAGCCCACAGAGAGAAGGACTGTGTAGACATGGATCCCGGAGAGGGGGCGGCCTGGGAACGCATAGCTGACATGGTATCTCCTAGGGATGGGGTTCGGGGAGAGAGCTCAGCCACTCTCCAGGGAGGGGGAGCTGCAGTGAATTGAATGCAGGCCACACCTTTTTGGGAAGTGGCCATTGAGCTGGGCTTCCAGGAGTGAGGACTTCAAAGGAAGGATGGCAGTGTGGGCAGAGGGACTGGCCTGAGCAAAAGCCCCTGAGGCTGGGGGCTCAGGAATGTCTGGGCATCAGATGCTCAGGAGCCTGAGTAACAGAACTAATAGGCTCTGAGTATGGAGAGATTCCCAGGCGGGTACCAGGGGTGCTCTTCGTCTGACCTTGGAGGGCTGGGGCTGGGGCTTGGGGACTGAGAAGTAACTTGAGCCTCTCCTGGACCAGTTCGTGAAGACCATGGTGCTGGTGGTGGTGACGTTCGCCGTCTGCTGGCTGCCCTACCACCTCTACTTCCTCCTGGGCAGCTTCCAGGAGGACATCTACTGCCACAAGTTCATCCAGCAGGTCTACCTGGCACTCTTCTGGTTGGCCATGAGCTCCACCATGTACAATCCCATCATCTACTGCTGCCTCAACCACAGGTGAGCCCCACTCCAGCCCCACCCTCTGCCCTCAGGGCCCCGCTGCTGGGCCCACCCAGGCTCCCCTGCACAGCTTAAGCATCCACCCTCGCTCCTGCCAGAGCCTGTGCCCCCATGCCCCCAGCCTACACGAGAAAGCTGTCCTCACACTCAGCCCCCAGCACCATCCTCCCTCCAACCTGGGCCTAGCCTGAGCCCCTCTCCTCCGAAAAGCCTTGCCCAGTCTCCCCGGCTGTAGCTCTCACCACCTGTCCCTGCTGGCTCTTCTGGGCTCTGTGTCTGGGGCAAGGAGAAGAGAGAAGGGAGGGCCAGATATGGAGGGAAGGGGAGAGGCAGAGAGAGGGGACAGGACAGACGGAGGAAAGAAGAGCCAGGTAACAGGAGGGACTGACTTCTCTTATTTTCAGGAGCTTCCTACTGAGGGCTTTCCTGGAGCCGAGTAAGCACCCGTCCTGCAGTGGAAGCAGTGGATGGGGGCTGGGGGCAGCACAGGGATGGGGCAAGGTCCTCCCTAGGAAGGGCACAGTACATGCCCTGTCCTCGAGGGGCTTTCAGGGCAGCTGGGAAGTGACCTTGGCAGAGACAGTCAGGAAGGAGAGGGCCAGAATCTCACTCTCCTTCTGGCATCATCCAGCCTCCCTAGCCCTTGTGGTTCCGAGGAAATCAGTCCCCGAGAGGGGCCTGCCCTTGCTCTGGGGTGCCTGGAGAGGTGGGGGGTGATGAGCCAGGCAGGACCCCAGCCCCAGGAGACCTCCTGCAGAGCAGACCTTTCAGCTGTAGGAAAGGAAACCCTGAAGGTGGGCAAGTCAGAGGCAGCAAGAGGCGGACACAGTATCACCTCAGTGAGGCAATGATGTGGGAGAGCTTGGCCTTGGACCTCTTAGTTTGTGTTTTTTGTCACCTCCATGGCCAGGTAGCCAGCCTACTCATAATGCCACTGGGGTCTTTATTGCTCAGACGTTTCACCCACCTGGGGCCGGCCAAACGGAAGGAGCAATGATTTTCTGCATGCCTACTGGGGGCCAGAACCCTCTATCTCCTGAGAGGGAAGTAGATAATAGAGAAGCAGGTGTCATCCCCATTCTACAGATGAGGAAAGTGAGCTTCAGAAAGGAAGATGCTCCCAAACTCATACCACAAACAGTAAAGCCAGGACTCCAGGCATCTCCAGGGCCTGTCATCTTACCGCCACACCATGCATTTCTTTTTTTTTTTTTTTTTTTTTTTTTTTTTTTTTTTTTTTTTTTTTTTTTTGAGATGGAGTTTTGCTCTTATTGCCCAGGCTGGAGTGCAATGGAGAGATCTCTGCTCACCCCAACCTCTGCCTCCTGGGTTCAAGCAATTCTCCTGCCTCAGGCTCCCAAGTAGCTGGGATTACAGGTGCATGCCACTACACCCAGCTAATTTTTTGTATCCTTAGTAGAGGTGGGGTTTCACCATGTTGGCCAGGTTGGTCTCAAACTCCTGACCTCAGGTGATCCACCTGCCTTGGCCTCCCAAAGTGCTGGGATTACAGGCGTGAGCCTGTAAAGACTTGTGGGATTGAGAACTCGGAGACAGGGACTCTGATATCAGGGAGGGGCCACCAGCCCACTGTGTCTGTGGGTTGGTCACTCTCCTGCCACCCAAGGGAGATACAGTCCCTGGGAGTCTGAACAGCACCCCGGGCTCTACAAGATCCTGACGTCACTTCTGAACCATTCCCTCTCTGAGCACCCCATGTTCCCTTTCTGCTGTCTGATTTCTTCCACTCACCGTGTATGCTTCCTCTGAACTCCTGTTCCATGCTGCCATGGGGACAGCTGTTTGTTTTCAGGCAAATGCACCAGAGCTTGGTGGCTCCGAGTGTGGGTTTTTCAAAGCAGTCCCCTTGGGAAAGCATCCTCGTTCTCTGGAGTTGCCAGAGCCTCCATCGTGTTTTAGCAGGTTCTTCTCTGATTCCTTCATTAGAAGCCAATTAACAAGTCAAACAGGAACATCTGCTGGGTTTTTGCATTGTTTTTTGTTTGTAATCATGCTGGGCAGTTTTTGTTTGTTTGCCTAATTCAGCTTAGTCACCCACTTCATTTATTAGACTCAGCTCCAGAACATTCTGGCAGTTTCCACAAATCAAACTTACCCACGAAAGCGTCTCTCAAGAGCCCCCGAGCCATGGGAGGCTCTTGGAGAGAGACAGTGACTTTCCTCTGGAAGGGGGACAGTTTCCTGGGGGTGGGGGCAGTCACATCACAGCTGCCATGCCCCTCGCTCCCTAGGTTCCGCTCTGGATTCCGGCTTGCCTTCCGCTGTTGCCCGTGGGTCACACCCACCGAAGAAGATAAACTCGAGCTGACTCCCACGCCCTCCCTCTCCACGAGAGTCAACAGGTGTCACACTAAGGAGACTTTGTTCATGGCTGGGGATGCAGCCCCGTCCGAAGCTACCAATGGGGAGGCGGGGCATCCCCAAGATGGATCGGGGCTATGGTATGGGTATGGTTTGCTCATCCCCACCAAAACTCATGTTGAAATTTGATCCCAATGTGGCCCAGTTGGGAAGCAGGGGCTAGTGGGAGGTGTTTGGGTATTAGGGGTGGATCCCTTATGAATAGATTAATGCCCTTCAGCTGGAGTGAATCCTCACTCTTGTGGGAATGGACCAGTTCCCAAGATAACAAGTTGTTAGAAAGAGTATGGTGTCCTCAGTTTCCCTGTCGCCTTCTCTCACCATGTGATCTCTCTGCACACAACCACTTCCCTTCCACTTTCTACCTTGACTAGACGCAGCCTTAGGCCCTCACCAGATGCAGCTGCCCAATCTTGGATTTTCCAGCCACCAGACTCATGAGCCAAATAAACCTCTTTTCTTTATAAATTACCCAATCTGAGGTATTCCATGAAAGCAACACAAATGGACTAAGACAGATGCCTACTGAACCCTGAAGCCTTGTGCCTGGCTGCAGCATGAGTGTGGCACCCTTTGAGAAGTAGCCTATCAGGAAGACCAGATCTGGAAGTTCAGTGCATGCCCCATGCTTCAATATCCCAATGCAAAAACAAGATGGGGCTGGGAACTCCAGAAAGGATGCTGACTCTACAAGGACTCAGCCCCTCATCTCAGAGAGCACCTCGGGGGATCCCGTAAAGGTCAGAAAAGACAGTGTGAGCTGGTATTTATCTAATCTAGGAGATGCAAGCTCAAATACCTTCCTGGAGCATGCAAGAATACTTACAAAAGAAAAACTGCAAATGTGATAATAAAAGGCAACTGACTTCCAGCCTCAGTGTTGAGGGACCAGGGAATGGTGGGAGCATGGCAACCTGGAGACAGGCATTCAAAGGGGACAGGAACTGCCCAGCTCTGGGCAAACGTTGCCACGTGGTAATGGGAGCCCACTGTTGCTAGATCTTCTACATCTTTCCAGAGAAGCTGTAAATCCAGATTTGTATGTGAGTCTTCCAGATGTGTTGAATTTGGCCCACATTTTCATAAGCTTTATGTAAGTCAAACAAAACGTATCTGTGGGCAATGCAACTATGACACTGATTCACCATCAGGCTGTGCATACAAGGGAGGAAACTTCTTATTTCACAAAGCCCAGTGACTGTGAGGCAGCCGAGGGCCTTTCTGCCTCAGTGTCTAAGACGTCAGATACAGCCCAGGCAGATGGTGATTAAGAGTCCAAAGAGTCAGCTGTGTTTCCTCAGGCAAGTCACACCTGAGCCTCTTCCTCTGCCCAGTATCAAAACTACTTCACAGGGATGCTGTGAGGAACAATGGCAGTAATATCTATAAACTAGCAGGCCAGACCAGAGAAGTGCCCAATACATGGTAGCCAGGCAGGAGTGCAGTGGCATCATCAGGGCTCACTGCAGCCTAAACCTCCTGAGCTCAAGGGATCCTCCTGCCTCAGTCTCCCATGTAGCTAGGACCACAGGCACACATCAGCACATCCAGCTAATTTTTAAGATTTTTGTAGATATGGGGTCTTGCGATGTTGCCCAGGCTGTTCTTGAACCCCTGGGCTCAAGCATTCCTCCCGCCTGTCTCCTGAAGTGGTGAGATTCCAGGCGTCAGCCATCACATCTGGCTGTTAGCCATGACTTTTAACTATTTTACACAAAAGCCACCTACAAAGCATCAGCACAGCTCCCACTCCCACTGCAGCAGGAAGCTGGAGGGCGGAGAGCAGCTGTCCCAACTCCCAGGAAGCTCCAGGTCTGGCCCAGCCCATCCCAAGGGTACACCTCCTCTTGCTTGCCGACTCAGCCTCCACGCCCTGGTTCCCCGGTAGATGAACCACATAACATCGTCAATGCACATTGCAAGGTGTGATGCTGTCTGTGTTCTCCGTAAAAATCACTGCTCCATAGACACCAGCACCATGCCCCTAATAAAGGGACTCTGATCTCACCAAACCAGGTGGTCTTGCAGTCAGTCCTGCGGGAAGGCACTTAGAGCGGTTGTGGCTTGGGACATCACAGGGTGCTTGGGTGCAGAGTGACATGGAACTCACCAAAAGCTTGGGGAGAATCCAAAATGAGAGCCTGGGGATAGAATGGCAATCTCTTGAGGTGGGGGTGGGGAGGGAGAGTAAAGAGGTCAGACAAGGGTTAATTTCCTAGGGAGTGGGTAAATCTAAGATCCAGGAGCGGGTGGGCCGGGAATGGTGGCTCATGCCTGTAATCCCAGCACTGTGGGAGGCTAAGGCAGGCAGATTGCTTAAGCTCAAGAGTTTAAGACCAGCCCTGGAAACATAGTGAGACTCTGTCTACAAAAAATAAAGAAAACTTAAAAATAAAGAAAAAAGATCCGGGACGGGGAGAGTACAGCCACCCTGGGCTGCTTCAAGATTTCATCTGTGTTTTGGTGGGGCGAAATGAAAGGGGTGGGGCAGGGCACATTTCATCCTGTCTTAGAGTTGGCAGAGAGGAAGATGAAGGCAGGATCCATGTGGGGATGACACAGAGGGGACCAGTGTTGCAGTACTCTCATTGAAGCCAAGCAGTCTCTGGAAACCAAGTGGCCTTGTTCTGTAATCCCAGCACTTTGGGAGGTCGAGGCAGGTGGATCACCTGAGGTCAGGACTTCAAGACCAACCTGGCCAACATGGTGAAACCCCATCTCTACTAAAAATACAAAAAGTAGCTGGGTGTGGAGGTGCGCACCTGTAGTCTCAACTACTCAGGAGGGTGAGGCAGGAATATCGCTTGAACCCAGGAGACAGAGGTGCAGTACGCTGAGGTTGTGCCACTGCACTCCAGCCTGGATGACAAGGCAAGACTCGGTCTCAAAAAAAAAAAAAAAAACTCTGGTTGGGTGCAGTGGCTCTTGCCCGTAATCCCAGCACTTTGGGAGTCCAAGGCAGGCGGATCATGAGATCAAGAGTTCAAGACCAGCCTGGCCAACATGGTGAAACCCCGTCTCTACTAAAAACACAAAAATTCGCTGGGCGTGGTGGCGGGTGCCTGTAATCCCAGCTACCAGGGAGAGTGAGGCAGGAGAACTGCTTGAACCCTGGAAGTGGAGGTTGCAGTGAGCTGAGATTGCACCACTGCACTCCAGCCTAGGTGACAGAGCAAGACTCTGTCTCAAAAATAAAAGCTCCGCCACGCAGAAGGCCACAAAACTCCCCAGTGTTTGGTCTTTGACACATCCTAAGAAACCTCGCACCCCCCAACCTGTCGCCCCGTCCCCAGCCATTAAGCGTCACTCAGGTCTTTGAATCGGTACAAAGTTTACTAGGTCATACGACATGGCTCACAAGCGGTGGGAAATTCCAGTGATGGCATTTTTCATTGGTTGCTTCCTTTTACCCAAATGGAGACAAAACACATTGCCGCAGGACTGTCACCTCCCCCCACGAGACAAACAGAATGCAAGACTGTCACACGTGGCTAGGACTGGTTCCACGGACACACAATTTTGTGGCATTGACACAGCACGATGGGACGCCAGGCCGCAGTGGGTGCCAGGAGGGGAGGAAGCGGCTAATGCTATGCCCACACTCGCCTTCAGGCAGTGCCCCCGGGAGGGAGGCCTGGCAGTGTCTGCTGGTGATAATACATTTCACACGGGGAGGGGGAACCCCAAGGATGGACTTTGGAGGCCCAGAAGGCCTGTCAGGTGGTGCGACTTTCTATCTCCAGCCAATAAATAACTCCGCTGGATGAATGCATACATTAGAAATGGATGCCAGTACACTTCACATGTTGGGGACCAGGTCGAAGTCAAACCATGCAGAGTGGCAGGGCAGGTGAGGGGGGATCCGGGTGAGAGATATTATCAACAGCACACCCTCTATTCTGTACCCTACAATATACACCATTAGTTGGAGTTTGCTTTCCTCCCCACACCGGGGGGCCGTGGTGCCGGCGTCTCCCAGCACCACTCGCTGGGAGGGTAGGGGTTGCCACTTGAAGAGAGAAGTGCTGGAGGGGCAGCAGGTGGGGGTCCCGGGCTCTTAGCTGCTTGCCTCTGTGCGCAACCGCACGCCCACGGCCGTGATGAGGGCGGCCCCCTTGCCGCTGCCATCCTCAGATAGGAGGAAGGACACGTTACATTTTGGTGACAGTTCCTTCACCGTCTGGTGCATGATTCTGGAGAAGCTAAAAAGGACAAGAAAATCGGAGAAGGTGGTTGGAGGAAGATGAGGGACACGGGGCTCACCCGGAAACACCAAAGCACACAGACCCCCCAACTGGTGATGATTCCACTTAGGATCCTCTGACTTTGTGACGCGTTTTATCGGGGCATAAGCATTGGAAGTCAAAGAGACTCTGAACTCTACAATAAAGGGCGTGAACACGGTTGGGAGGGAGGCTGCTTAGAAGCAGCTGCGGCCTATTGAGAACGGCTGGGAGGAAAGTGGGCCTATGGTCAATCCCATTGTCAGAATTTTCAGCAGGGAGGCCCAGCGAGAACCCAAACACAACTGCTCTGTATGGCTTTTGAGGGCTAGGACATGAACCACACTCGCACACACCCCACATCGGAGCCTGAAGCACCAAGGGTACCTGAAAACCAAGGAGGATATTAGGGGCCAACATGGATCAATGAGGCAGGCCCAAGCCGGCCACGCACTGGATCCGATCAGGAGGCTATGCAGGAATATCAGCCACCCCAGCTGCAGCCCTGAGACCCCCAGACCGCCGCCATTAACAGCCTGGCCCCCAAAGACAAGAATGCCTCCAGTGAAGACAGTTTCTGAACAAGGGCTGAATCTACATCCTTGCAATTTGGGCTGAAAATGAAAAACAGGGCCAGGCTGAAGATGCTTGGGGCGAGGGGCTCTCAAAAGTAATCACTGCCCTTGGTTGGGGACCTATCAGGTGGGCTGAGTGTGGTGGCTCATGCCTGTAATCCCAGTACTTTGGGAAGCCAAGGCGGGAGGATCACTTCAGCCAAGAAGTCTGAGGACCTACTAGGTGCCTCTTACTTTATAGATCTAATTTCTAGTCCTGCCAGAGGCTGCCATGCTGCCTCAGCTGATGGCAAGGACAGCTGTTAAGGTGAAGAGACAGAGGTAAGGATGGAGCAAGACAGATGGTTCCATCCCAAGCCACGGCCATGAGGTAAGCAGGTAATGTATACATTGAGTCAGGTGAGGTTGCTTTAATGAGGGTGACACTATGGCCTCGTTTATCTGGGATGGTCTTAGTTTGCCTACAGTCCCAGAGTAATCATTA